CCCTGGCATTGCCACACCAGACCTGTTTCCCTTAGGGCGAGGGGGTTTAGCTCCACACCCCCCCCGCCCCCCCCCGCCCCCAATCAAACAGTCTAAAGTTAAGGCCCCTCTTTAGAAACAGAATAAATGCACCACCTCAATGACGGTTATCAAAACCGCCTCTCTTCAGCCCCCAAACTGTTCCATTTAAGCTGCAAAATCAATACAGTCTGGAAAATATCAAAGCTTTCATCATTTGTATTAAGAAATGATTGTTTTGGCCAGTTTTAAGTGTAGATTTTGATAAGCCTGTGCTCATCCCTTTATACCAAGATTTCAGTGCACTGAAAGCCATGTATTTCACCATCCTGGAAAACATGAAACAGAGATCCAAACACGCCTCTATCCCCTGTGTTACACAAGAGGCTCCTTAATCTCGTAAGTACTAAGACTTTTCCTCAAAACCCTTTGAAGGTGTGGAAGCGGCATGATCATCCCTATTTCTTGCCATCTTGGAAAGCTGAAGTGACTTTTCCATGCAGGGAGCCTGTACACAACTCCTCAAGTTGTCACTCTCAAGTGCTGTAACCACTCCTCCTTCAACTGATATAAAATGATTTACCTGCAGGCCACGCAATAAAGCAATGATAGACGTGGGTCAGGACTCGACTCTCATTTGTTTTCAGATACTGGGAACTGCTGCCGTCCTTCCAGCCAAGTCCTCAGAACCTCCAAGTATGACCAGCCCTCACTGATGGTAGCCAGAGCTTGGTCACTCAGCATTCCCCCAGATGAGGGTGGCCCAGCAGCCCTCCCTATCTAGTAAGCAGGGAAACACAACCAGTATCCATGCTGGAAGTGTTTCACCTGTGACACAAAGTCTCTTTCACACTCCAGACCCTACACAGCATCACATAACATGAGAAAGCCCAGCCTGAAAGCGGATAGGCAGCTTGGGCTTGCACATCTGGGGAGGCTTTCCCTGCCTCCTGGGAACCCTTCGGCTGGAGGCAGGAGGCACAAATGAGGAGACCATGTGCCTCAGCCGGAGGCTGGTACCATCCCATCCACTGCACCCTTTGCACAAACACAAATCAGGGGTCTCAAAGCTGAAAAGCCAGTATCTTGACCCAAACTTTAGCACATTATCTTTTCTACAAGTCTTATTTTGTGACCACCTCTAACTGCAACCCTGTCTCAAATTCATGGCTTTCTGAGATCAGAATGCTTCCTTCCATGGGAGTTTCCAGCTCCAGGCTACAATCAGGAAAGCTTCTGCTCTACTGCAGCTGCCTGGTTTTGCAGGTGGAGGAGCGAACTAGGAGCAGAATTCCCAAATTCTCTGAAATCACAAGCCACAGGTCTCTGAGCAGCCAACAGGGATTTTCTGAAGGACCTCAGATACGATCATCTATAGGCTTCTCTGGCCTTAAAAGTTACTGGTTTTGTCTTACTGCTGCTGCCACTAACAGGAATGAGTTTAGTTGAAAATAAACCTTCTCTTGATCTCATTGAAAGTAACTATTAAAAAAAAAAAATCCATAGGGAATGGTACTGAATTTTCAGTAAAACTTTGGATTAGTTCCTATTGATGCTGAAATATCTGTCTGTCTCTCATCTTTGTCTATTCCTATCCCCTACAGCAACAGCTCAGCAAATTCTTTCCCCCTTTGCCCTATAACCCCATGAAAGATGGTCTTTGTACGGGACTAGCCAATACACAGCAACCCATCCCATTCCCTTGCTGAATGCTGGACCAGTAGCTGAAATCAGCAGCTTGGCCCTTCCTCTTCCTCACAGAGACTCTGGTTTGGTACTAACAGAGAACAGGAAAGCGAATGGTGTTTTAGAAAGTTTGCCAAGGCTGCAAAAAACCCGTCCCCACCTTGTTCTGATTACGTGTCAGCAAAGTGATATCCTCTACGGCTACACAGCGGGGAAAGGAAGATAATGTCTCCAGGATACCTCGTCCACTTGGGCTTTACCCATACCTCAGCTGGAGAATTACTTAGGGGCACAGCACTGATGCTTTTTCGTTCACCTTCTTCTATAGCGGGAGGTGCTGTACCCTGCCACCCTCCCGAGTTCTGCATACGCACGAGCAAGCCTGTACGAAGTCCCTTCATGTACAGCTGGAGGACGGAGTGCCGTTAGAGCTGCCTCGCAGCACCAAACCCGAGAGACGACTGAGGTTCTTCTGTGCCATGCCAATCTGGGTTTTCACTCTGACTCTTCTGTGCCATGCCAGTCTGGGTTTTCACTCTAACGCCATCTCCGCTACCTTCTGCGGTCCCTGAGGACTTCCTGGTTGGCTTGCTTTGGGGACTGTGAAGTGCTCTCAAGAGTGGTTGGGCAACGTCCTGGGGTGCCTATTGACTGCCCGCAGTCACCCGCGCCACTCCAAATGGGCCCAGCCCTTCTCTCCTTGAAATACCACTGACCCGGGGTGACTCTCTGCAAGCCAGTGGTGTGATTTATACCAGGGTTATTCCTAAGCATCACTCTTCCAAACCAGAGGAGCATCCCCCTAACTGCATAATCTCAACGAGTCCTTGGTCCTTCGGCAGCAGCACATTCCACAGCCTGGCCCCCCAGGCTGTGCAGATGCCTCCCCCCTTATCAGCGGTGCAGCAAGAGGAGGGTGAGGCAACGTGAACACCACACCAGGAAAGCTCTTAGCACTTCCACACCTCTTTCACAGGACCCAGAGCAAGCACAGGGAGACCACACCTTAAGGGAAGGGTACATTACTGCTTTGGAGAGTTTTTCTACCCCTGGTCTTGGCCAACAGTCTTCTCCCCACCCAGTTCGTCTCAGAGTCACCCCTTGACGGGACAAGGTGAAGACAAGGAGACGGACTCTGGCACTGCAGTGTTAGATGGAAAGGGCAGACTGTTTCCTAACAAGAGGTAGCAGGAGAGAGGAACCTCTCATCAGCTTGTGCCCATATTTGAGATGGGGATTCAGGGGAGCGCTTCCTTCTGAGGACCAGTGGCACGCTGAAGAGGTACTTACCTGGAAGGCCATGGAGTTTGCAATCGTCAAGAAGATCCGCAGGGGCAGCGTGGCTTTGTAGGACCGATGGCTCCAGAGGCGGTGAGATCCGGCTGTTATCCCCAGAGCACTCACCATGAAACACAGAACGCCTGGAGAGGAAAAGAAAGCATTGGAGCAGTTAGAGCAAGTCAGCCTGTAGCAAAGTTTCAAGCAGAGCAACACAAAAGCAGGCCTCCCTCCAAAGCTGTATAAGCAGGAGAGGAAGACATGGAGACCACAGATTGGGGCAATAAAAATCAACGTGAGAGTGTCCAGGCTACCACAGGATTCCTAAGCAACGTGGGGCAAATCACTTCAGCTCTTCATCTCTGACAAGGGAGGAGGCTCCCCCTTACAAGCCTTGTCACAAGGGTTGGTTCTTCAGCATAGTGCCATTTGTCATGGTGCAGGATCGTCAAAATCGAATAAAGTGACTGCTTCCATACAGCCCTGTGGTAACAGCTCGCAGTCCATCAGGGAGCAGCTTCCCCCTTTCCTCCCACGCCGAATAATCAAGGGTCTTGCTTTCCTATCTCACCACTCCTCACTAAATCTCTTTTGCATTGTTTTCACCTAGAGACGGTAGATGATCTTACAGTTCTTCAGGGAGGGCAGCTCAAGCCCAGGGTTAGGCTTCTCTTCTGCACCCTTTCTGAGCAGAAGCTGGCTAGAAGATCTAATCTACCATCCCACTGAAGCCTGGGCTTCACCTTCAGCTCCACCACGGACTTAAAATCCGCCCACAGGCTCCCGTTCCCCTCTGCTCAGCTCCTGCACCATTTACAGAAGGAAACTCCAAGGCCAACAACTCATTGCGAGTCGTGCCCATGGCAGAGGCAGACGTTGCTGGACCAGTTGAGCTTTGATACTGCTTCATGTGTTCTCTCTCCATGCAGGTCAGAAGGAATTCCCTGCCCCTCTGGCAGCTAGTAAAAAAATCACATCCCTCTCCCTCTGGATCATGTGTTTATGTCTGCTCTGATCTGTGTCTTCCCGCATGTCCTCCTGGGACCGGTGGAATTTAACCCAGCTTCCAGCATCTGGTCCTAGAACTAACATGGAGAAAAGACCCCAACAGGGTCATAGCAGCATTACACTAGGAAGCTGGGGATAAGAAGAAAACTGGATCTGAAAATTAATTCTTCCTCTAGGAAGGAAGAATCAGGAAGTTTGACGGAAAGACACAGGGCATTCAACAGTTGGTTTGCCCTGCAAGATCAGACACCAAGAGGGACGGGTGCACATCTGTGTGTAGGCCAACTGATGCACCTTCAGGCCCGTGGGGTGAAGGGATGCCTTTTTACCGGTCCCCCAGGGAAAACTCTTTCCTTGGTATAAATCTGCAGATTTCAGCCAATTGGATCAGTCATAAAACCAGCTTCTTATCCTTACATGTAAGCCCATGGATCAAGATTGCTGGTATGCTTGACAATACCATTCAGTCCAGCCAAATGGCTCTAGACAAGCTTATCTGAACCCACAAAATAGATACTCTGCCAGAAACGTGTCTGGAATCAGAGATCTGAGACACTTGCAAGAAACTGTCACCCTGTTCTTTCACTCAAAATAATCCAGCTTTATTTCCTGTCATCTCCTGCTCCCTCTTCCTTCTGTCACCTCCTTTCTGTTTTTCTGCATTCCAAACCTAATCTCTTCTCCGCTAAAAGCCAGTCTCGGCTGATTTAACATCCTCTTCTGGCCCCTTAAACTTGCATGAACCCTCCTCACAGCAGCCTTCCCCATCTGCTGATCTGACCGTGACTTCCCATCTTCATCTTCTCCCCTGGCTTCCCCAGCCGCTGCCGAATGCAGCACAAGCCTCAGACCAGCACACCTCTGCCTCACGTCTCCCAGCATCTCTGCAGTCTCTCAGAGGAGCCAAGGAGTCACTGGCCGTAGCTGATTTACAGGGCATGAAGAAGGATGAAAATGCATGCAAACGCAGCAGGACGCAGCCTTTGCAAGAGTCAACGGAGCTGAGCAAAGCTCACCAAGCTGGCCAAGCCTAGAAGAGGAGCAGGGAGGGATGCTGGCACAGGGCATTTGGTTCAGGTCTCCCTTTGGCCTTACTGACAGGAAAGTACTTACGCTGGACACGCTGAAGGTCTCACCCAGCCCCATGATGCTGACTTGAAAGTTAAGAACCAGCTCACGACCAGTTCCCTGTTGGTTTTAGATTTTAAGACCCGTTTTGAATTGGTCACTGTCCCCGCAGATTCATACAGAAGAGCCAACCTTGAAAAAGCACCTAACATATGACTGATTTGCAGAAGCTCTCTGGCTTCAGACTCTGCACTAACAACTAAACCCACTCTTGGATGTTTCAGACACTTCCTACTAGCAGTAGAGGCACGACTCGCCAAAATCCTCCCTTGAACACAAGCTGCTATACCCTGCAAACCGCATTTTGTAAAACCTCTGGGCAACTTCATACCTACCATGCATACCTCAGTAGCTGAGGTAGATTTCCCAGGGTGACAAGCAGCTTATGGCAGAGTGGAGAGCAGCATCTAGGAGGCTGGATTTAACCTCCAACCTGTACAGACTCTACACCAGATGGGGAGTCTGTGAAAAACAACAGCAGCTTGCCATGGATGTTGGATCAAGGTGGTAGGGGCAACTTGCTGGGGAAACAGCCCAGGTCTCCACTGTGGGGCCAGCAGGCATGAACTAATGGTGCACTGGGGACAGAAATGAACTATGCAGTCTTTCATGATGTTCAATGGCACCAGAACGTAAACAGCAGGTTAGGTGACAGGCCCCAAGTTCAGGCTTCCCTCTCTAGTGGATCCTCACATGCTGACTGGCAATTTTTTGGTAAAAGAGGCCTCCAGGAAGATGACTCTGACTGAGGACTGTGGTATTCAAGCTTTGCAAGAAGAAAGCACATCTGTATCTCTTCTATACAAGCAATTCTCAGCATTTGTCTGTGGAAATCCTCCTTGGGAAAAGATGACACCAGCAGCAAAGGCATATCAGCAAGCACAAGGAATCACAAAAGAGACATGGTGAAGACACTGACAGACCCAGAAACCTGACAACCCAGTATTTGCTTTCGTGTAGCCTTGGCTGAAAGCTTTTGTTAAAAATTTGCAAGAGTACTCACTGCTTTTGGGTGCCCTTGCATAGAACAGTCACAGCCCTCCTTCAAAGCTTATGAACCTCAGCAGCTCGTGTTGACTTCTCTTGGAGCTGCATCCCAGGTCACTACAATGGACACAACTCTCTAATTATAATCCCGTGCTGCCTTGCCTCTTGCCCTTATACAGCAGCTGTAGTTCACCGAAGAAGCAGACACTTTTTGTGGGAAAGGAGCTGATTCTCAGTCTACGCATACATCGCACGCAGCCCCACAGAAACCCAAACCCAACCTGGGGGCTATTAGTTCCATCAGACATACCAAAGAGTTGTTGTGACAGTGACAGGATATGGACAATAAGATTGAAAAGCCTGGTGGAAAACAGAAAAATACAGCACCCTAATGATTCAGAGGGTTCATCCCCACAAACGGGTACAATGATGATCATTGCATAGCTGGGGAATGAGCACCTCACAGGGCAGGAAGAAGAAAAGCTCCTCCAAGATCATCCACTCAGAATGAAATTGGCAAGAGAATAAAGAAGGTGAAATAAAGTAGCACAGATTTTCATAGCTGCCTTGTGAAGCTGCCCCAAGCTGAAGGACCTGAGGACTCTATCAGCTGAGGTTTCAAAGTCATCTTCCACACCCTGCTTTGAAGTATCGAAGATTCCAGAAGAGTGTCAACTCACAGGTGATGTTCCCAATGACCCATTCAACTGGAATACAAAGAATTATGACCACTGGCAGTAATATGCACTCAGTGCTCCAAAAATTAAACCCAAAACATTCTGGTTTCAGTCATGTCTATACGACTTACTAGCCGTTACCTCTTCAAGGCCCAGATTCAGACTTCAAGTTATGATGGGAAGCCAGGAATGTGCTAAAGGCTTTGTCACCTGCAGTCAACACCAAGGATGTTTACATGAAGAGGTGTCCCTGCTCCAGCGGGTGTCCTTGAGCTTCTGCTCAGCGGAAGGGAAGCTACAGCTTCAGACTGTCCCTCCTGGCCTCCCAGCCACTACTAGCCAGGTGGGTCATGCAGCACTCAGGAGAAAGATACCGAGAGCAAGGAAATGTGTGCAGGTTGCATAAGGGGAACAGTTTTTAGGAGGAGCAATAGCAGCTACTGTTGCTAAAACCAAACTTCTCTATCTGGCAAAATCAGAAGTTTCCCTCCACACTCAGAGGAGAACCACACTACCTGCTAGCTACGCCTGGAGAGGACACTAAGTGGGGAGGTGTTGCCAGCAGTAGTCTTGATGGGAAGGTAACAAAAAAACTTCTGTAAACATTTTGCTGGACACATCCCTGGATATAGTACTGGCTGAGATTTTCAGGCTATCAGAGTTGCGTAAATTATCCATGAAGATTCTCCTTGGTCCAAAGCAACAGCAACAAAAAATGATATTGACCATTTTGTGATTCTGTGATTCTGTGACCCATGTTGCTGCCACTGCTGGCATTGCAGGGAGCAGGGGTGCGGTCAGAGTACCACATCATGAGGAACAATCACTGTTTTATAGACTCTGTTGGTCAGGCCAACAGGGGTTAACGCAAATATCATTGGTCTGCTGCACCCGAGGGCCAGGAAGACAACCTGCAAATCATGTTTTCAGGGAGGCTTAGAGCAGCAAGAGAAGAAACTGTCAATCACCTTTGCATCCTGCCCTCCCAGACTCAATCTCTATGCCATTTGGCAAATGACATGAAATCTGCCTGTGATCCCTGAAAAGACTGCGCAAGACTTTGTCAAGTGCAGTGGAGAAGACAGTAAATAGAAGGGGAGCTGGCTAGAAAGCCATACTGCTGGAAGGGCTTTGGAGAGGTCTCATTCTGGTGAGCTCTCACCTGATCAACAACCCCAGCTCGTTCTGGGAAGCTCTGTACCAGAAAGAGATCAGGGGATACAATGCACACAGCAGCGCAGAACAGCAAACAATGATGAAGGCAGGGCTGGAGAGCTTGAGAGACAAAGAGGAATTAGCACACAGAGAAATGAAAACAAAAGGGGACACAGTCACCAATATAACTGGTTTCAGAGGGACAGGAACATCAAGGAGACAGTGGCCTGGATGCAGAGGGTATAAGCAGGGGATTGCTCCTTATAATAAAATATAGATTAGCTACCAGGCACACAGCTGCCTGTAGCTTCACAGCAGAGAACATCTGGGGCCATGTTAATTTTATATTATATGTACACAGCCTAAGGAAGGAACGATCTGAAAAACAAACAAAGACACAAGCAAAAACCCCAGCAGCTCCAGAACTACCACTGGGAGAGCTGTTCTGCCATGAGCCCATGGTGGATTGCCGGGAGCAACGTAAGTCTCTGCTGATCTGTCCATCCTTGTGTGCAAAATGGGAACCGCAGTCCTCTGCTTGCCACCAAGGGGTGCTGGGAAAACAACAGCAAGTCATTGAGATGACAGCTACTGGTGTCTTGTATGTGCTGAAGGAAGGCGTGAACTGAGAAAAGGGCAATGCAAGAAGGAGCAAGGAGCTTTGCTGAGAAGCCAGACCTGTGGGAGGAACAGGGTATCCCAGCTCTGGTCAGCACTGGAGGAGGATGGACTGTAGATAGGGGAAAGCTCTGAAGTGGCTGCAGGATGCAGGGAAAGGTGGTCCTCTCCCAGAACAAGTACCAGGGATGCAGGACAGGGAGCTCTGTGGAACTACTCCAGCTTTGGTAAGGCAAGATGGATCTTCAGCCATCCCAAAACAGTGCGTTTCCCCCAAACTCCCATATCCTTGTCCCATGCCATCTGTCACTCCAGACGCCACCGAGGAATCTCGCAGTGCCTCACAGTGGCAGGAGAGCAACGGGCACTTCACATCAGAGCTGAGGGAGGGAGGGGAGCAGGAGGGACTGGTGTCAGATAAAAAGCAAGGCAGATTCCCACAAAGTGCCACAGGATGCCGTGCAGACATCCTGAACGGGCACGTGGTTGCAAACACAGTGCCTCAGAGACCATTTTGGGGTAAGGTGGGGCTTAGCAGGACGCAAAGCAGCATCAACCTTCTGGATCAAGATGCTCGAGCCCAGTTAAGTACCTCAGGGGAGCTCCAGGGAAAGGGGCTGGATGGATTTGGAAATCACATTGCATGTCAACAGCTCGAAACGAAACAGAAAAATCCAGCCCGCCATTCCCCCCTCCTTGCCCCAGCGCCCTGAAGATATCTGGCTGGGACTGGAGGACCCAGGCTGTTGGGTCAGCGAGTGCGAGACGCCAGCCGCCCCTCCCCAGCCTGCAGCCGAGAGCCCGGGGATGGGACACACAGAGCAGGACCAAGAGCCCTGAAACGCTCCCACAAGCCGTGCTGAGGCTGCACATTCTGCCCTGCCCAGCCACCCCAGGGAGAAGCGCAGCCTGTCAGGTTTCCACAAGGGAAAGGCCCAGCAAAGTCTTTCACACTGGCCATCCCTGAAAGGCCGTGCTAGCTGCACGGGGACACGTCGGTGCCTCTGCTTTCGCAGATGCTGTAGCAGCCCCTGACCGAGCCCCGTGACCTGCAGTGATGCTCATCCCCCAGGCTTCTGCCTGCAGAAGCCAAGGCGGTCCAGCAGGGAACGAGTCAGCCCGGCCATCCAGGGAGCCTGCTCCTCCCTTGATCCAAATGTGATGGTTGCTGATCACAGCCATCGGGAAGACCGACTTCGAGAGCATGGCAGACCAGGTAGAACTCTCCAGGGCCTTCCCACAGCTGGGCGGCCAGGACCCAAAAACGGCCGGTGCATGAAGCAAGGGTCCCCTGCGCCTCAGGCCCCGGGCCCAGCTGTCCGTCAAGCAGTCAAAGGAGCAGGTTGGTTCCTACCCAGGGCAAGGTCCCTGAGAATGGGGAGCTTCACCTAGCTGCCTTCCACTGAGTGGTGCTTTCCACTGGAATGTGCTGCCTGGAGAGACGCTTATTTGTTTTTTGAAGGTTGTCAGGCTCAGGATGATGGGGCATAATCTATGCTTTTGTAAGAATGATCACAGACATGAGCTTCAGACTTAACTCCTGACTTCTGTCTTCAGCAGCAGTGTATTTTGTCTCTTTTCCTT